GTGACGGCATCGACAACTTGGGTCAACTCAACTACCATTTGGTCATATGTCTGGCCATTGCGTGGATTCTAATGTTTTTAAGTATTTCCAGAGGTGTCAAAGGATTGGGGAAAGTGGCCTATTTTACCGCTATTTTCCCGTATATTATGATAACAATACTATTAGGAAGGGGTGCATCTCTGGAGGGGGCAATCAATGGCGTAAAATATTATTTAATCCCTGAGTGGGAAAAACTTAAGGACATTGGTGTTTGGTCGGACGCCGCCTCACAAATATTCTTTTCCCTTTCCATATGTATGGGTGGAGTGATCACTCTCTCCAGTTATAATCCTTTCAAAAATAATTGCCTCAAGTAAGTAATCTTTAAAATGAGCATGCAATTAATATTAATTTTAATGTTTCAACAATTATTCTATAGAGATTCACTTATAATCGCTGTTTGTAATTCACTGACCAGTATATATGCAGGTTTTTATTTTTAAATAATTCTTATATTCTTGAGTTAATTCTTATATCTTTAAATAAAGGCTTTGCGATATTCAGTGTCATTGGATTTATGGCAACAGATTTGAACAAAGATATCGAAACTGTAGTTGACCAGGGTATAAATTAAGTAACTTTGTATGACATTTAAAATTTTTTATAAGTATATAAATTGGTTAAATAGGTGTTGGACTGGCATTCATAGCATACCCATCAGCCCTGTCATTATTACCGGTGGCCCCTCTCTGGTCGTGTCTATTCTTCCTAATGATCTTAACTCTAGGTTTCGGCAGTGAAATGACTCTCATTGAAGCCATTGTTGTGACAATTGTTGATCAGTGGCCACAACAGCTCAGACACAGAAAAATCTGGGTCTTAGCGGGTGTTTGTATGACCATGTTTTTATCCGGACTTTTCATGTGCTCTAATGTATGTTCAATTTAATCATTATTAAATGTGGATTAATACAGAAAGTTATTATCAATTATAATCTATATTAATAAAAGGCTGGAATCTATATTCTTCAATTAATGGATACCTATTGTATACCATATTCTGCACTATTTATAGCACTGTTTGAAGTAATAGCCATCGCATGGGTTTATGGTATCAACAGATATATGGAGGACATGAAGAACATGTTAGGTTTCTATCTATTTCCGCGACACTATTGGAAATTTATATATCAATTCTTTTGTCCGCTTGTCATCGCTGTAAGTTTTGTGTCCAGCAAATTTTAATAATGCTTTTACTAACTTAAGGGTGTTAATAACACATTCATAGGCACTCCTTATACTGCAATTTGTGTTCAAGACCCCAACCAAATATGGCAACTATGAGTTCCCCGCATATTCCGAAGCTATTGGTTGGATACTAAGTGTCTCATCAATAATATTCATACCTATATTTGCTTTCTATCAAATATTTACAACAGGACTTCCATATATTCAGGTATTGAAAGCATAAATTTAAATATTGTGGTCTTTATATTTAATGTTTTTACAATATTTTTATAAATAAAGTCTGTGAAATCATTAATACAACCGGACCCGGACTGGTACAAAAACATTAATTCCAGTGGTGGTCTCCATGGAAAGGAGTATCAAGAAAGTGACCAAATTATGTCCATTTAAGTGATTTATTCATAAAACATTTTTAAATAATTTTGTAATTATATTTAAATGGCCAATTTTATTATTAAAATCTATTAATTTAATTTATTTATATTTGAATAGAACATTATTATTATTAATTAATTATTCTAAGATAGCAATTATACATTAATAACAATTTATAACAAGTTCATTAAATAGTGCTCATGTTAGGATTGTATATAAAATATTTTGTTTATGATAAGGGAATACAATAGTTGAACTTTCATTGAACACCAAAACCGTAAAAATAAGAATTGAATTGAAATATTTATAGAAGCAAGGCAATCACATTTGTTGAATAAGAATTTAGATGCTATTGATACAATGTGGAAATTAATTGAATACTGAGAATATTGTAAGCATAGTTGAATTCACGAGGTTTTAATTAGATTTAAATGATTAAAATGTTAATTTATTCAACTGTTGGATGAGATGAGTGACCATAAAAAGTACAAAGAATATACTGTCGATGAAGTACTGAAACACAACACCAAAAAATCCCTTTGGATTATAATAAGAGACGAAGTGTTTGATGTGACAAAGTTTGTGGACAGCCATCCCGGCGGTTGTGATCCCATTATGAACTTCGCGGGAAAGGACTCGACCACTGTTTTCGTAGGCAATCATTCAGACGACGCGGAAAAGATGAAAAATCAGTTCAAAATCGGTGTCATTAAGAAAACATGATTTCAATAAATATAAAAATAATACATTTCATACAGTTTTATAGAGTTTAACATAACTTAATAACTATTACATAAACAATTTTTTGAATAAATATCGATTAAAACATTTATACTTTAAATAGTGTATAATTTGTTGACAAGAATATATGAATATATTTAGTATTATTTGCGATTAACTTCTGATTGTAAATCACTCTGAATTTGTTCATAACTGGGCGGCGGTTCATAACTGGGAGGCATAACCGGCATCGGACTGCTGAATGGTCTGTTGTTCCCGGAGTGGGCTGTTGTCCCATAATTAGGTTCAGTCGGTCGGCTGTTATCCCGAATAAAAGCCCTGAAGTTAGAAATGGTTGAAATGTGGACGGAATCGTCCGACGAATTGGCGTTTCTTCGTCTCCTGATCGCACTCTGCGAACACGTGATCCGTATTATCCCGAAGATTATGAGTACACCACTTATGACACAAAGAGTTATCAATAGAACCGAAGATATGGCACCAAATGCCAACTTTGCCACAACCGTCACAATTAATATACAAATGCCAAGTCTTAACATAGATTTCCCCAAATAATAGAAATCGCGGTGATATTTATCATTATCTAACACTGCAGCTCCCGTACCACTCGCACCTCCATGTCCTCTGGTATCAACACTCGAAGGGACTGACATCTTATTATGGCTCAAATAATTCTCATAACTTCTGAACTATTTACGGTATATAACAGGAATGTCTGAATTATGAGATTTATATCAGATATGTGTGAATACCAGGGAAACTAACACATATGAGTGCAGTCGTGACATAACAACTAATACTTATTTGTATTTTCACTTATCGCTTATCAACAGATCTCTAATACAAACCATTATTACATGAATATAATTGAAGTTTTATTTGAACACCGGATCGGTTTGCAAACCTCACAAATAAACATAAATATTAGATTAACGACTAATTCTGGGAATACAGTAATAGTAAGAATATTTCGATCAAAACCTAATTTTATTAATTATACAAACAATTTAAAGCCATTTATAATCGAAATTTTTTGAGTCAATCAATCACTAGATATTTAAGATTCAAATCAATTGTAAACTATTTTCTATAATAATTTGTTTAGAGATGTCTACAGAAGCGGTGTTTATGTCCACTTGTCGGGGAAGAAGTAGTCCTCCCACTGCTTGTAGTGTCTGTGGGCGTACCACTCGGTCACGTGTACGTCCGGCAGAGCTCCGGGAGGTAGTGTCGAGTAGATGGGTCTACCCCATAGAGTACCCACTTTCCAGTCGGGCACGTCCTTCATGAGCTCCCGCTCCACTTCGCGGTTATATCGCATGTGCCGTAAGTATCTGCGGGATCAACGAAAAGACACAATCAATGGTTGGCGTAATGAGTGGTGAGGAGTGGGTCCTAACGCGCGATCCCTTTCCGCCTGAAGGAGTGGTTCGATGGCATTGTAGTGATCAAAGCGCTCGACCGACAACTTTCCCATATATCTCTTGCGGCGCTTCAGATAATACACGGCATAACAGGTCATCCCGATGTGCATCGCCATCAGCGACCAGTCTATCACCGCAAACAGATATCCATTAGTGACCATTAGTGACCATTCAGTGATAATCGCGTATTTGATACATACTTTTGAAGAGTTTTTGTGGTATAACTCGAGTGAAGTGGATCTCCGCGTACCCGCCCTTCGGCGGCATCTCCTGTTTGAATCCATTGGCTGTAGTCATGATCTCTTCATCTGATGGCTAATCAGATCCCGATTTAGGTATCAATTTGTGTCCAAAATATTGTCTCGTTTTCAGTGAATGTATTTGTTTTGCATTCAATTCAGGGATCGACTCGTAATTGAGACCAAAATGTTTGCCACAAATGGTTCACATTTTGAGCCATAAATTGCATGTAATTTATGAATGCATTGAAAAACACATTGTTTTGTGATTTTTGTCATTTAATTTTGAAATCCATTTAAAAGTATTGAAAGTATTGATCAAAACTCGAGTCATATTTACGCGAAGAATGGGTAAAAAAAAGATGTTTTTGGATCTCAAGAACAAAGTGTCTTCAGATGAGAGCGATTCCGACGACTTGTCAGTGGATTCGGACGAAGAGCTGCAGAACGCCTTCCAGAGGGGAGACCTGAAGCCCGGACTCAACCAAATGGTGGCCTTAAAGCCATCTGAAGAACACATTTACGACAAGACGGCGCTGAAGACAAAGTTGGATCAAATGAGACTCAACTTGGATTGGATCGAAAGACTCGACTCGTCGGACAACCCGTCGAAAGTGACTCCAGAAGTGCAGCAAATGTTTGGAAACATAGACTTAAAGCTGAATAAAAAGGGCGAAATCAGTGCCGAAGAGGTCCAGAATTTGGACAAAAGTGATAACGACTTCAAACGCGAAATGCTTTTCTATAGGAGGGCTCAGACGGCAGTCCTGGAGGGCATCCCGAGACTCAATCGGCTCCGAGTGGTCACCAAAAGACCCAACGATTACTTCGCAGAAATGGCCAAAACTGATGACCACATGAAGAAAGTGCGCGAAAACATAATCAAAAGACAGACAGCAATGGATGCGTCAGAGAAGGCGAAGAAGATGAGAGAACTGAAGAAATACGGGAAGAAAATACAGACAGAAGTACTGATCAAACGCCAGAAGGAGAAGAGAGAAATGATGGATCGGCTCAAGAAGTATAAGTCGGGAAAAGAGGATAATTTGGATTTTCTGGACGGAGAGGGAGGCGGCGCTCAGAAGAAGAGTATTCTGAAGAATGGAAGTGAGAAGCAGTCGAAGAGGAGTCAACAGAAAGCGAACCAAAAGCAGAAATACAAGAACTCGAAGTTCGGTTACGGAGGACAGAAGAAGAGATCCAAATACAACACTTCCAGCAGTTCTGCGGATATGACGAAATTCAGTCGAAGGCGTCACTCGAAGCCATCAAAAGGCAACCCAAGACCGGGAAAGTCGGTCCGACAGAGGATGAAGAGTAGGAGTAATTGATGGATGTATTGACTCTTATGTTAAAAATTATATTTTATAAATAAATTCATTTTTATTCGTAATTTAATGAATTTATAATCGGATTTATTGGTCAAAACAATCATATTTTTACAAAACATTAACATTGAATAAAATACACTTTTGAGTGCATTCAGTGAATGAGATTTATTTGGATGTTTACGTTAGTACGGTATATGATAAAAATTAAAACGAAAGTATGAGTGAAACGATTAAAAGACGGTCTCATTTGACACGAATGGCCGGACATTGAAAGTCAATAATAGCGAACTCGTTGTCGTGATGGGGACCCTTCGTGCCGGTGATGCGAATCCATCTGACAGGACGTCGACTTCGCAAGTGTATGGTCTGCCACGAAGACTTCCTGACAAACGAGTCGTTGTTATTGTCTTTTATGAGACAATACTCCTCTTCGTCTTCGCTTTTGATCTCAACCCTGAAATCATAGGTTCGCTTGTCTTCGTCCCACAAGTGGAACCGGAATGAGTCGATGAGAC